TTTACATCGATGTGATAGCGTAACTTCAGATACATAATGACTCAATATTATTCAATAAGAAAACTTACCCGACATGTGTAATAATAGCACCATACACTTCCAATTCTCTTAACAACATAATTCAGAACTCCTTTCCAACTCATGCGATGTCTCTCCTTCGATACGAACAAATTGACAGAAATATCTACTTAAGGCGGTGATTCTGTTGATGAGTCAGAAGATTGTGGAATAACTACAGAAGGTGATTGTAGCGCAGGACTTGGTGGGAGAATCATTTTTTTTGGTTCAAAACAATAATTTGCGTTAGTATTAATCAATGCCGCCAAGGGAAAACCTGCTGTCATCGGGTTTTCAATGCCAGTTTGTTTTTGCAGTAACGTGATGTGGCGCATGAGAAATGGCAATCGGGATGCGTAAATTGATCGTCCCGGATCAGCCCGACGTCAAACAAAACACGTGCGCAAGAAGAAAAAAAGAGAAAAAAGCGAAAATACTCAAAAACTAGTGTTTAAATCGGGCCTTTGGTCACTAACAAGAAATGTCGGGAGCGTAATTTTACATGTGGGATGATCTTTCAAGGCCTATAACCACATCACGTTACTGCAAAAGTGTCTAGACTCCTGGCGGAGTCGGAAAATCTATTATTGGGCTTCCAATTATATTTTGTGGCGAGTTATTACAAATAGGGATGGGCAATGTAATAATTATGTAAGCGATGGCTAAAATTTAATTTAAGAGTCATCGATTACAAATAAACTATAAGCTACGTACAGTATATAAAATTGTTTGAGTTAAATAAATAAATGTCTATTGCAAATATCCATTCACCACAGCTACCTAAAATGTAACAAACTTACAAATGAACGTGCAACAAAAATAACATGCATTCGATGGCATATTGCACAAGAAATAATTCACATCATATTGTTCAAAATAAAGAAAATAGGCTCGATCAAATCGTTCAAACTAATACAGCTAATTCTAACGAAGCATGTCTTGAAAATACTGTATCGAATATTGTGATTCGATGATATGGAAAATAATAATGATAATTTGGAAGAATAATTTGAAGAAAATGTAACGCAAACGATTGAAAACAATGATAATTGTAATATTAATGTGCCTCAGACTAACGCTTGCCTCAGATCACGCAGATCGTCAGGTGAGGTGCGTAACCTATTGATCGGTCAATAAGCACAAAAAAAAAAATTGTATGTAAAGAAATTATTGGAAATTGAACGTGCTGAAAAACATAGACGGGAAGAATATGCCGCGAAATTTAGACAAAAAAAAAACTATATGTATAGAGAAAAAAATACGTATTAATTGGAAATAAAATGTGCCGTGAAAATTCAGACAAAGAAAAGAACGGAGGTACTAAAGAGACTTAATGTAAAAGAATGCTACCGTTGGTGATAAAATACCAGAGATTCAAGAATAAGTAAGACGACGCCAAAGTGATTCAAAAATATAGAATGCAACTGGAGTTAAGAAAGACGCCAAAGTGATTTAAAAAATGCTACCAGCGAGAAAAACGCCGAAGAAATCCCAAGAATAAAAAGAATTAAAATAAAAGATCTTTTATTCAATTTATTTTACTCTTATTTTCGTTAGATTGCAGCTTAGATGATAATCGATAGGCTACGCACCCGCATCTGAGGTACGTCAGCTGTGATCTGAGGCAAGCGTTAGTCTGAGGCACAACATATACGTCAACCATATAACGCATTTATCCCAAAAACAAAAAAACTAATATAATTATCACATCAAACCCATCTTCCCACCTTAAAAACCCATCTTCTTTTACTTCTAAAATTTATCTCTTCGTATAAATATACTTATAGCAAATGATTTGCCTCACGTTAAATATCTATCATAGCTACGTCATAAATTTAGGGATGTTAAACCGGTTAGATTTTACTATATAAACTGTAGTTAAACGGTTTAACATCCCTATTTGGCAGTGAAATTTGATTTTCGTGAAATTACTTAAAATTACGTAAAATTACGTACAATTATGGTAATCTACAAACCCTAATTAGTTACAAATGATACTGTAATACCGGCAAAACTTTCATAATGTAGGCGTAATAATCATGTGCCAATACATTATCATGTAAAATGTAATGTTTGTAAATTTCAACCCTAATTTACCAACCCACGCCATTTCTTTCTACTGTATGCTTTATGATTTCATCACAATGCTTAAAATAAAACGTTAACTCGCAACATTTCCGCATTTGATTAAGTTAAATTGCAATCGAATTTTTAATTATTATTCCAAATAAAAACAAATAAGATAAAAGTTCAAACATGATAAGGTGTATGGTTTTTTATGCCTCCGAAGCTCTTTCGAGATGAATCACTATTTAAACTTAAATAAAGTATTAATATACTTATTCATTTATATGATAATAATAATGAGACTTGAAACCTTTCCCGAAAAAACATCAACTCCTGACAAAAGTATGATAGATAATAATCAAGAGATTATTGTAATATATTTACAGAAACGACAACAAACTACACGTTATTATGGCATACCATATAAAACAATTACAATCACAGAAACTGCAGTACCTTTTGTTCCTTCTCGTGATGTTAATAATCCGATGACTGCGACACTTTATTACCAACTTGTCATGTATTTGATTGTGAGTGTGGTTATAAGCATGATTCCCCTTCTGCTCGCACAATCAGTGTAAAATTTCAGAAATATCTCCTCCAATTACTGAAGGCACTCGCTTTATTTAATAGTGATAACTGGAGTATCGTACCAGATACTGCCATCAGGAATGCCAC